TATATATATATATATATATATATATATATATTACTTTTGGTATTCTACTAAGGAATCAAGCTGGCACAGCGGTAGCATGCTTTGCCCATAATCCCCATGTATATATATAGAGAGAGATATGGAGAAAAGGTAAATTAAATTAAATTTATTAAAAAAGATGGAGTAAAAAAAAAACATGTTGAGCAAATAATCCCTATTTTGGGTAATCTCTTATTTGCGAGGGATTAGCGACAACACTTTTCCCTCACTAATTTGCGAAGGATTTGCGAGGGATATACTTATAACTCGTTAGCGAGGGATTTGAGACAAGAAAAATCTCTCGCTAGATGAAAAATTCATTTTTTTATTTTGGGTCATAATTTGGAGAGGGATTTGCTAGGAATTTGCGAGGAACTCAGTTCTTCGCTAAATAAGCACTAACTTTAGCGGAGGATTTGCGAGGAAACAAAAGTTGGTCGCAAAATGTTTCTATTTAGCGAGGGAATTTAGCGAGAGATATAAATCCAAGCTATTTGCTTTGATTTCCTTTTCCACTCTTGTGTTGCCCATATATCTACTAATTCGTCCCACATCTCAGTCCTTATACCTCTTGGCCCATGGCCCTTTAAGTCTTCAATAATATCTGAATTTGCCCTTTGTTTTGCCTTTGTCCTTGCTTTTTTTTTTATTTTGGGTCATAATTTGGAGAGGGATTTGCTAGGAATTTGCGAGGACCTCAGTTCTTCGCTAAATAAGCACTAACTTTAGCGGTGGATTTGCGAGGAAATAAAGGTTGGTCGCAAAATGTTCCTATTTAGCGAGGGCATTTAGCGAGGGATATAAATCCAAGCTATTCCCTCGCTAAGTAGCGAGGGAATAACTTGGATTTATATCCCTCGCTAAATTCCCTCGCTAATCCGCAAAATTCTTGTAGTGTAAACTTAAAATGTCTACATGGTCACTTTTATTTATAGCAATGTTTATGATAGAAAAAGAAGATGATAGAGAAAGAATTTGATAAGAATACCTCTTGAACGAGCTTTTATAAAGTATGCTTCCAATATGGTGGTCTTGAGGCGCTTTTTGGTTGCCTTACACACTACAATTCACCTCACAAATCTCAAGAAATACAAAGAGGGAGAGAAAGATAAGGTTTTGAGCTATATTAGACTCTAGCAAACAATTTTTGCTCCATTTTTTGCTCCTCTAGCACTATGCACAAGACATCTTATTTATAAGCGTTAGGTCTGATTGGAACGATCGTTCTGGTTATCAGAACGGGATGTTTTAGACTACTATTTGATAGCTACAATTTGAATTTGGAACGACCCATTCTGAAATCGAAAATACATGTTCCAGATTCAAATTTTTCCTATAACAACTTGGGTCAAAACGACCCATTTTGGATCTCGAAATGGCCCATTTTAACCTAGGATTTTCAGACCTTTTTAGTGGATTGGAACGGCTCATTCTGGTTTGAGAATGACCTGTTCTAAGCTTTTTTTTTTTTGCTTTTTTGTGCTACTAGGCCTCTTGATGTTTTTTCAGGTCTATTCTGATGTTACATTAGGCGTTCAAAGTCTTCTTGTCTTGTTTTGAATATCCTAGACGACATCGGGTGTTTACAGTAATCTAGAAGGGGGTTACATTAGTGGTATCAAAGCTCTGGTTATGCATCTTTAGGGCTTGTGAGTGTAGGTCCATTAGGTTCTAGATTGTTTATATTCCTTGTTGAAATGTTAAAATTATTTGAGATTGATTGAATTTGTTTGAATTTTGTTGGTTTTGTTTGATATTGTATGATTAGAAAATTTTATTATTAGTTATTAACTAAATGGGATAAAATGTAGGTAGAAAAATGTCACCTAGACGTGACCCTATGGCTGAAGTGGCACAAGCTATGCGAGAAATGGTTGTTGCCTTAACTCAGCAAGCTTTGGCCCAACAACAGGCTTCTGTGGATAGAACCACCCTATTTGATTTTAAGAAAAATGACCGACCATATTTTAGAGGGGAATATGACCTTGAGAAAACAAAAAAATGGATTCAAACACAAGAGGATATTTTTATAGCCATGGATTGTCCAGATGAGAGAAAGGTTTCTTATTCTAGTTTTCAACTTTAGTGTCCACAAGAGACAATCTCTTAAATTAATTCACAATGTTCTCTCCTTTGAAAGTTGCATAATAGACTTATTCATAAAGACATGAGCTAATAGAATCCTAATCTTGTGTCTTTAAGATAAACTAATAATGATATATTTAAATAACTGAGTCTAAAATAAGTTAAACCAAAGATAAGATAACATAGTCAATTAGAAAAATGATATAATCAGTTGCCCATGAAGGTGCACTTTTAATCCTTGGTTCTATTGCTTTATCTTCATGAGTTGTAACATTACCCTCTCATGGAAAAGGACCTTGTCCTCAAGGGCCATCTTGGTATAGAGGTTGACTAAAATTAAGATCCCATGACTCCCAAGTAGCTTCTTCGCGTGGCTTGTCAGCCCACTCAACCAAAACTTGGTATCGACTTTCCTCTGGAGTTGGTACATTGTGTTTATAAATGATGGCCTGCAGTGTAGGTAACTGGTGTTTTGAAAAGTCATCGCACATGATGGAAGTAGGAGGAGTTGGACCTGAGTAAGCCTTTAGTAAGGAAATATGGAAAACTGGATGAATGCGACTATTAGATGGAAAATCTAGTCGATATGCCACCTTGCTAATACGTTCCAAGATCTGAAAAGGGCCAAAATATCACTTAGAAAGCTTAAAGTTGAGTCTGCGAGCAGTAAATTATTGGCGGTATGTGTGAAATTTTACCCACACCTATTGGTCAACTACAAAATTCTTGTCAAGTCGTTTAGAATTGGCATATTTTTCCATTCAAGTTTGTGCTCTAGTCAAATTAGCTTGTAGTGTACTCTAAATTTCTTGTCGATCGATCAACATGGAGTCCACCTATTCTACGAATGTGTTGCCTGGCGTATAAGATCGTAATAACCTTGGGTTAGAACCGTATAATGCCTAATGAGGGGTCATCCCAATGGTAGTATGATACGTAGTATTATAGTTTAACTTTGCCCAAGGTAAGTATGTATGCCATTGATGTGGATGATCGGAAGCAAAAGTGCGAAGATATTGCTCGAGGCAACGATTGACAACCTTGATTTGGCCATCACTTTGTGTATGGTATGTCGTTGAGTAATGAAGATTAGTCCCACCTGAACGCATGAGTTGACGCCAAAAAGCACTTAAAAATATTGGGTCTCTATCTGAAACAATGCCTTGAGGAAACTTGTGTAATTTAACTACATAGTCTAAAAATACAGTAGCCACAATCTTCATTGTAAATGTAGTCTTGAGAGGCATGAAATGTGTTGTCTTAGTCAAACAATCTACCACAACAAATATCGTGGTAAACCCATTAGAAGAAGGAAGGCCGACAATGAAGTCCATTGAAATTTCTGTCCATGGAGTAGTGGGAATTGACAGAGGTTAGAAGAAGGCCTTGAGACTTGGTAGTGATATTCTTGGTTTGTTGGCATTGAATACATGTTGCCACATATTGTTTTGCCACCCGCTTATACGTTTTTAAGGTTTCGACATGCCTTCCTTGTGGGGTGGAATGAAATTCATATAGCACCTTGGTCACTAAAGAAGAGTCACATGGAATGTATAATCGAGAGCGATATAAAAGAAGACCATTATGTACCTCAAAATCCGGAGGGAGATGATTTTGGCAATGAAGTGCATGGAACTTAAAGAGTTCGGGTTCCAATCTATTGGCTTTCCGTAACTCTGATATAATTGTGCTTTCCACTTGAGCATAAATATGATAATGTTCAAATGGCAGTTGAGATAAAGAATCTGCAGCAGAATTTGTGATCCTGGGGTGATATACAATGTCAAATTCATACCACAAGAGTTTTGTAAGATAGTATTGTTGGTCGGGTGTTTGTATTACTTGTGACATCAGCTCTTTCAAGCTCTTATAATCTATCTTAATAATAATTTTTTTTCCAATAAGTAATGTCTCCATCTCGCAATAGCTTATGTAATAACATAGAGTTCACGCACATAAGTGGATGCGTTGCTCATGTAGTGTGAAAGCTTCTTACTAAAGAAAGCCAATGAATGACCTTGTTGAGTCAAAACCTCGCCAATTCCCTTTGTGCTAGCACCCGTCTCAACCTCAAACGGAAGCGAAAAATTTGGAAGAACAAGTATTGGGGTTGAAGTTAGAGCTTGCTTAAGTAACTTGAATGTCATTTCAGATTCGGGTGTCCAATGAAAACTGTCGCGTTACATCTCTCTCAGGGGAAAAGCAATGTTTGCATAGCCCTTTACAAAGTGGCAATAGTAACCAGCGATACCTAGAAACCCCCGTAACTGCTTGATAGTGTGTGGTAATGGCCAAGATAGAATAGTGTCAATTTTGGAGTTATCGACCTCCGCACCTTTAGATGATATGACATGTCCCAAATAATGCAATGAATCTTTACAAAAATAACATTTAGTAAGCTTGGCAAAAAAGGAATGAGTCCGTAGTGTCTTTAAAACCAATCGAAGATGTTGAAGATGGCCCTCCCAATTCTTGTTATAAATCAAAATATCGTCAAGGAAGATGGTCACAAAGGTACGCAAGAAAGGTTGAAAGATTCGATTTATGGTAGCCTGAAAAGTAGTTGGAGCATTGGTAAGACCTGTTAGTCCCTTAGCCTCAATTAACTTAAGAGGGGGGGGTGAATTAAGTTTTCTAAATTTTCCTCTTATAAAAACTTTTCCAATTACTTTCTTATCACTTTATTTCCTTAGACAAATTTGCATGTAAAGAATGATGATGAAGAACAACTCAAACACAATTTAATAACAAATAAATAAAAGTGTAGGGAAGAAGAATTGCAAACTTGATTTTATACTGGTTCGGCCAATCCTGCCTACATCCAGTCCTCAAGTCTCCCACTTGAGAATTCCACTACTCTTGTAAACCTTACAAGAAAATGAATCCTCCAACACCTCGGAACTCCCTTTCCTTGTGTTGAGATTCAAACACCAACAAGGAGAAAAACCCTTTCTCCTTTACAGATCCAATGATCTATTAAGTAATACAGAATGACTCTCTTGAAGAGTGGATATTACACTTTCATGATCTTTGATGAACTCTTTAGAGATTTTGCAAATGATTTTGGCCAAGTGATTAGTAAAGATTATTTTCACAATAGAGTTCGTCACCTTTCTCTGAAAAATTATAGGTATTTATAGACAATTGTATCTTGAGTTATGTCTTTTCATGAAGAGTTGTAACTCTCTATAATTTTTCAGAAAATAGGCTCTGGTAATCGATTACAAGACTTGGTAATCGATTACAACGGTTTAAGTTCAAAATGTTTGAAACGTTGTATAGTTCAAATTCGAATTTTGAAATTTCTCTTCTGGTAATCGATTACAGTCAGTGGTAATCGATTACCAGAGAGCATTTTAACATTTTGAAAGGTTTTCTTTCTATGGTAATCGATTACAGCAAGTGGTAATCGATTACCAGAAACATGTCACTTGTTTTGGCTTATGAAAACCTAAGATATAAAGAGCTTCTATTTTCCAATTAAAAATATTTTCATTTAATCTTTTGAATACTCTTTTTGTTTTCTTTTCAAATAACTTATTCTTATATTCAAAAGTATTAAGTTTAGGTTTTCTTGAAATTCTTATTTTAATGGCCAAGTCAAATTTGCAAATTCTAAAAGTTCATTTTACATACTAAGCTAAGCAGTCAAGACTTATCTAGTTATTACTTGAGATCTTGCTTCTTGATCAACTTGCTTTAACTTGACCTTTATTTTCTTCAATGCTTTGGCATCATCAAAACTTTGTGCATATTTTCTTCCACAAGACCAAATGACATGACCAAAAATTCATAGTGACCGTTGTGAGTACAAAAAGTTCTTATGTACATCACTATCCTCCATACGAATTTGGTGATATCTTGAACATAAATCTAGTTTGGTGAAAATGACGGCACCCTGCAATTCATCTAAAATATCCTCAATCGTAGGCATCGAAAAAGAATAACAGATGGTAATGGTGTTGAGGCCACAATAGTATACGTAGAAACGCCAAGAGCCATCCTTCTTTTTCACCAAGAGGCCTGGGGAAGAGAAAGGGCTCGTGTTGTCACGAATGACACCAGAATGATGCATTTTAGTCACCAAATGTTCAATTTCCGTTCTTTGGAAGTGGGGATATTTATAAGGTCTGATTTGTACTGGTTTTGAATCTGAGTTCAAGGGAATGCGATGTGAAATATCCCTAACAGGTGGTAAACCCTTAGGCTCCTGAAAAACAATAGCATATTTTATCAATAATTCTTGGACTACTAGCGAAAAAGTAGAAATTGGTTGCTCTGTTTGGCATAATTGTATAGTGCACAATGAGGAAATATCATCGTGAAGAAGCATATAGTTAATGTGATGGTTCTTGATTGGGTTAGGACTTAACAAGTGCTCAGCATGCAAAATGATATGAGTCCCATGATAATCAAAATCCATTGTTAATCGATTGTAGCCGGTCAGCACACGACCCAAGCTTTGTAACCAAGATAAACCAAAAACCATATCAGCACCAAAAATTTCTAAGTGGTAAAGATCAACCAAAAAAGAAACGCCTTGTACTAAAATTGGAATATCATAGATGCAGGTGTTGCACCATATAAAATCACCCCTGCCCACAAAAACTTTGAATGGTTCAATATCCATGTCATGAATCCTTAAACGGAGAGCAACCTCAGGTTTTATAAAATTGAATGAACTGCCACTATTTACTAATATGGTAAGGGTATGTTCTTGGAAAGTCCCTTTCAATCGTAACGTGCGAGGACTATATTCTCCTGATATGGCATTAAAACTGATTTCTGGATTCCCCATTCCATCGATGGTTGTATCGTCAAGTGCATCAACATCCAACAAGTCGTGGCATACATCTACCAAATTTTTGGCAATTGTGCGATGGATTATATTTCTTGTTGCATTAATAACGAAGTCCCAAATAGTGTTGTTCATGCAACTCTACCGCAATAAATCGTTTATATGGAGGTTTGGTCTTTGGTGGACTGGCGACAAGAGTCAGTGAGGTCGACATGGAGGAAGAGTCTCAGTTCTTATTGGAAAAGGTAAAGTGCGAAGTACGTATCCGGTTGACAGGGTTTGGTGCTGGTTGTGCGGCAAGGGTTAGGAATGTACTAGGTCGCGTGGGAATAGGAGAAAAAATTGACGATTGTTTCAATGATTGTTGTAGAGCAGCGTAATTTTGTTCATGGAGAAAGGCTAGAGCAACTGCCTCATGGTAAGATTGTGATTTGGCCTAGCCGTAATTGGCAATTTAAGTAATTGTTGAGACCAGCCACAAAGAAGCTAACCAGCCATTGTTCTGTCAGCCCAGTGACTCTATTGGATAGAACCTTGAATTGGGTTTGATATTCATTCATTGTGCCTTCTTGTTTCAATTCCTTGAGAGCTTCTTGCGGGTTGGTGTATGGATTTGAGTCAAAACATTTGTATAACGCATCAAATTATGCCACCATGCTGGTGAAAGTATGGCCACTTCTGCAAATCCAACCTACACATGTACCTTTTGTACTACTCGAACTCAAGAAAATAAGCAAATAAAAGTATGACAGAGAGGGGAGGGAAAAACCTTAAAATAGCTCATGAGCTCAATGTATGACATACACAGAGGCTGTAACATCCAGTTTTTTTAAGATGGCATTTTCGTAATTACTGATGGCATTTTCGTAATTACTGATGGCATTTTCGTAATTTTAATAAAGAAATAAGGGTATTTCTGGGTGTCGGAACGGGCCGTTCCAAATGCAGAACGGGCCGTTCCAAAAGAGGGAATATGCTTGTTTTTAAAGACCCAGAACGGCCTTGGAACGGGCCGTTCCGGTATGGAGAACGGGCCGTTCTATTGAGATTGAGAACGGGCCGTTCTAGTTTCAGAACGGGTCGTTCTGCTTTTTTGGGAACGGGCCGTTTCGATTTTGGAACGAGTCGTTCCAGTTGCAAATTTTGCCCAGATTTGAAGGATCCAGAGCGGGCCGTTCCAAAATCAGTACGGGTCGTTCCAGGTGCGTCAGATTGCCTATAAATAGGGGCAGGGGAGGTGAAAATTTTTATACTGAGTAAGAAGTGAAAATTTTAGAGAGAAAGAGAGAGAGAGAGAGAGAAAGAAAGAAAGAGAGAGAAAGAAAGAACGAGAAGGAAAGAAAAAGAGGGAATCCAGAGGAGGAGGCTCTGCCCAAGTTTCAACTCCACTTATCCAGGTAAGGGGGGCAGTGAGAACCTCGCTCAGGGGTGTGGGGATAATTGTTGGATAGTTGTTTGTCGGATTGGCCCTCAATCCTTTGCTGTTATTCTGTCTTATTTTGTATTTGCTTTACTTTATTTCTTGTTGGAAATAATAAATAATTATGTAACCCCAATCCTTTGCCGTTGTTCTGTTTAATTTTCTATTTACTCTACTTTGTTTTTGTTAAAGGTGCCGTTATTCTGTCTCTAGTACACTTGTGATGGGATCAACAAATATTTGACCAAATACTCACATTTTAAGATAGTATCAAAGCTCTCTTATATTCATTTTTTTAAGATGATATCATAGTCTATCCTAATAAGTGATGTTCAACTTATCAGATCATTTGTTATCAAGTTGTTCTCAGATCACTAATAAATGTCTAATTCTTCAAATTTTAGGTTTGAAATATTCGGTACTCAACTTGAGGAATTAGGTTGAAAATCTCACATTGACTAGAAATATAGTCAAAATAGTATATACAAGTGAGGAGTAATCCTTACTTTACTAGCCAAATTTATAAAATTAAGTTATGTCCAAATTCACTTAAGATAGAACAGAGTTATTCTAAATTCGTTAAAAATGATCATCCCTTATTTTTCTATGTGTCAAACTCAATAATATTGAACATGAAAAAATATATTAAAAAAAATTCAAATTTAACATTGAGTAGAGAAGGCCGACAAAAAGTATGTAAATGGAAACAACTCCTACCTTCCATAAATCATTTTTATAAAATTAAGACTAAAAACTCATAATCTAAAATTTCAATTAAAACTCGGAAAAATACCAGTAAATTTAAAGCAAATATTAGTCGAGTGAGTTTACCTTTGTGGACTGATGGAGAAAGATTACCCGGCCTCGGCGATTGCGCTTCGTCACCAATCCCGTAAAATTGGAACGATTCAAACCTGAGATTGCAACTCGGACATAAAACTCTCCCCCCTATGCTTCCCAAGTGTGACCATGGAATTTTTCCAATTATATCTTCCAGACAGTTCCCACAATCATCGGTAGGCAAATCCTGTGTACATTGACCAAGAGTATAAAGGGTCTGTACATCATTCAGTTTTGATGATTTAATCACATATCTCTCGCTACTATCTGATGCCGCGTTCGCCAGATCAGCTAATGTATTTGATAATGTAAAAGTGAAGGACTCTTGTCCCGGGATGGGGTTGGAGATAGTGGTAACATTCAGCATTTGAAATGCTGGAGTTTCCTCCACTTGATAGAAGAAATTCTGATAGGAATAGCGAAGCATGCAGTGGCTGTACCATATGATAGCCTCTTCAGATGAGTTACACGATGCGGATATTTGGTGTGTTGCGTTGAGAACGCATTGTTGACAGAGGCGTGAGGGAAGGTCACCGCGGCACATGAAGAGGCCATACACACTGTCCTCCACATTATTCTTAGAAAATTTATTGCCATCGGTAGCATTGGAAGACAAGTAAAAGAGGAGGGTGTTGAGATGCCTTTTGTAAGTGCTGTCAGCAGTTGCATTAGTGGTGCAATTGTGGTATAGATAAGTGGGATCTTCTGAAAATTGTTGATCTGCATTGGGAAACTTTGATGCAGGAACCGGCACTGGTGTAGGGATAGATGAGCGGTAGAAAGGGTTCACTCCATACCTAACATTACAGCTGGGATATAGAACTATCCCTAGCGACCCTTGACGTGGAAGTTCCCCTATCGCTAAACTGAGACATCTTCTGCAATCATAAGGCGACAGGTCCGGTGTGCACTGAGCTTGACAGTAAAGGCTCTGAGATTTAGATATGTCTGTTTGCAATGTCGCATACTTCTTGTTACTATTACCACGAGCTGCTTCGTGTGCAGTTTTGTTTAAGTTGTCAAACACTAAACGCATGAACGTTTCCTGGTCTGAGGCATTCACCTCATTGTATACGTGAAGTTTAGGTCTAGTGTCGAAGGTGGAAAAAAATGAACGGTTGGAAAAGCGAACCATGCACTCATCGATCCAAATCACAGCTTCTTTGGACAAGGAGCACTTTGTTGATAGTCGCTGGGTTGCATCTTGGACACATTGTTGACAGAGCTCACGAGGGACATCACCCCTGCGCATACGGGTATCATAATATATAACCAGTTATAAAAACTTATGTGCCTTTGTTTGAAGATATCACATTACATTTTCAGAATCTCATTCCAAGAATATTTTAGTAGAATATAATTTTTTTGTATATTTAGAAAAGATGTTTAGTTATATCATGATATTCTTTCGAATGTTTTTCTAAATTTAAAATAATTTAAATACAAAATAATTAATTAGAAAAGTTATAAGTGTTGTAAAACGCAACTTTTCACTTTTTTCTGAAAATATCATATTCACAACCGTCAGCGTGGGAATAAATTTGTAAAAAATATAGTAGGATAATTTTCTAGGAAATAAATGATACCCGGAATAATTTTTGAAAACTCGCAATAAACATAGGAATATTATATTTTCATGCTTATATTTTTTAGAATGAATTTTTAATCCGTGAGATAAACACATTCTAAGGATCGTATTGAATTGAGATTTTATAAGATTATTTTAAGATGAAAAATTCTTGTAGATTATAGAAGACTTCGTAGGAATCTAATAATTTCTATAAAAAAATTTAAAGACTTTTATAATCAAGATTTTGTATATTTAAATCAAAATTCTTGTATAATATAGAAGACTTTTAATGTATTTAAATCAAAATTTATAAGATTGTACTAATTAATATTGATAACTAGTTGCGGTATATAAGTATGCTATTGATGTAATTTTGAGCTATGTATGAGTTGTAGTGATGTGGTCCCTTATGTATTTGATTTCTAATATTTAATAGATATAGTTGAATTGTTAATTGTTATATTGAGATCAATTGATAATGAAATAATGTGATATGACAAGACATGTGATATGTGAATTAATGAGATCATGTAAGTTGATATGCATAGAGTCTATTTGACATGTATCATATGCATTAAAGTATTTTTAAGGGTATGATATGGAATACACCGCCAAGGAAGGTCTCTTCGTGTAAAAGCTTAGGGATCAATCCTTGGAGATAACTTGGTTTGGAAGTCTTTGTCTCGCCCATTGTGTTCATGAGATGTATCTTACACAACTCAGTTATATATCCCAACCAAACCTTGGTAGTATGTTCTCTTAGTGAGAGTGTGTTAAGGATGTGACTCAGCATGTATTTCTAAGCTACTCTATGTATATTGTTAGCATCAATGCACAAGTGTGATATGTGATATTTTTACTAACACCACATGCATAATAACATATAATTCGTGTCCATTACATAATGCATCTTAATGTTATGTGGTATTTAGTTGTTACATTGTGAATGAATAGAGTATGTTATATGATCAATATGTTGATATATATCTTGTTTGTGTTTGGTTGTCCAACTGAATTAATGAGATCATGTAAGTTGATATGCATAGAGTCTATTTGACATGTATCATATGCATTAAAGTATTTTTAAGGGTATGATATGGAATACACCGCCAAGGAAGGTCTCTTCGTGTAAAAGCTTAGGGATCAATCCTTGGAGATAACTTGGTTTGGAAGTCTTTGTCTCGCCCATTGTGTTCATGAGATGTATCTTACACAACTCAGTTATATATCCCAACCAAACCTTGGTAGTATGTTCTCTTAGTGAGAGTGTGTTAAGGATGTGACTCAGCATGTATTTCTAAGCTACTCTATGTATATTGTTAGCATCAATGCACAAGTGTGATATGTGATATTTTTACTAACACCACATGCATAATAACATATAATTCGTGTCCATTACATAATGCATCTTAATGTTATGTGGTATTTAGTTGTTACATTGTGAATGAATAGAGTATGTTATATGATCAATATGTTGATATATATCTTGTTTGTGTTTGGTTGTCCAACTAACACCAAAAACCTTCAGGTCTGATGCAACCTTTAGATGTGTCTGTGTGAAAATGGGATAGCATCTCTATGGATTTTGTAGTTGGGTTACCTAAGACTGTGAAGAACTTGGATGCTATATGGGTCATTGTGGATAGATTGACTAAGTCTGCCCATTTTATCCCCATTAATATTAGGTACTCTTTGGAGAGGTTAACTAAGTTGTACTTCAGTGAGATCGTGAGGTTGCATGGAGTTCCTACTAGTATTGTGTCTGATAGAGATCCTAGGTTCACCTCTAGATTTTGGGAGAGTTTGCATAAGGCTTTAGGCACTAAGCTTAGATTGAGTTCAGCTTACCATCCCCAAACAGATGGCCAAACTGAGAGAACCATACAATCTTTGGAAGACTTGTTGAGGGCTTGCATCTTAGAACGTGGGGGTAGTTGGGATAGTTTCCTACCTTTGATAGAATTTACCTACAATAATAGCTACCATTCTAGTATTGGGATGGCACCATATGAGGCTCTGTATGGTAGGAGATGTAGAACACCTTTATGTTGGGTAGAACCTGGAGAGAATGTCATGTTAGGACCTGAGATAGTTCAACAAACTACTGAACAGGTTAAGATGATCCAAGAGAAGATGAGAGCAACTCAGAGTAGGCAAAAGAGTTATAATGACAAGAGGAGAAAAGACCTTAAGTTTAAAGAAGGTGATCATGTATTCCTTAAAGTCACTCCTTGGACAGGAGTAGGCAGAGCACTGAAATCCCGTAAGCTTACTCCACGTTTCATTGGTCCTTATCAAATTCTTAAAAGAATCGGTGAAGTGGCCTATCAAATTGCTTTGCCTCCATCTCTTTCAAATCTCCATAGTGTCTTTCATGTTTCTCAACTCAGAAAGTATGTCCATGATCCTTCCCATATCATTGAGTCTGACAACATTCAGTTGAAGGATAATCTTACTTATGAAACGGTTCCTCTAAGGATTGATGACACGAGAGTGAAACAACTAAGAGGAAAGGAAATCCCTTTGGTTAAGGTCGTTTGGGGAGGAAATATTGAAGAAAGTGCTACATGGGAATTAGAAAGCAAGATGCGAGAAGCTTATCCATTTCTATTTTCAGGTAAATTTCGAGGACGAAATTTCTAAAAGGAGGGGAGAATTGTAACACCCAGTTTTTTTAAGATGGCATTTTCGTAATTATTGATGGCATTTTCGTAATTTTAATAAAGAAATAAGGGTATTTCTGGGTGTCGGAACGGGCCGTTCCAAATGCAGAACGGGTCGTTCCAAAAGAGGGAATATGCTTGTTTTTAAAGACCTAGAACGGCCTTGGAACAGGCCGTTCTGGTATGGAGAACGGGCAGTTCTACTGAGATTGAGAACGGGCCGTTCTGGTTTCAGAACGGGCCATTCTGCTTTTTTGGGAACAGGCCGCTTCGATTTTGGAACGGGCCGTTCCAGTTGCAAATTTTGACCAGATTTGAAGGATCCGGAACGGGCCGTTCCGAAATCAGTACGGGTCGTTCCGGGTGCGTCAGATTGCCTATAAATAGGGGCAGGGGGGTGAAAATTTTTATACTGAGTAAGAAGTAAAAATTTTAGAGAGAGGAGAGAGAGAGAAAGAAAGAGAAAGAAAGAGAGAGAGAAAGGAAGAGGGAATCCAGAGGAGGAGGCTCTGCCCAAGTTTCAACTCCACTTATCCAGGTAAGGGGGGGAGTGAGAACCTCGCTCAGGGGTGTGGGGATAATTGTTGGATAGTTGTTTGTCGGATTGGCCCCCAATCCTTTGCCGTTATTCTGTCTTATTTTCTATTTGCTTTACTTTATTTCTTGTTGGAAATAATAAATAATTATGTAACCCCAATCCTTTGCCATTGTTCTGTTTAATTTTTTATTTACTCTACTTTGTTTTTGTTGAAGGTGCAGTTATTCTGTCCGATTTTCTATTTATTTTATTTTGTTCTTTGTTGAAGGTGTTGTTGTTCTGTCCGATTTTTTTATTTATTCTACTTTGTTCTTTGTTGAAGGTGTCGTTGTTCTGTCCGATTTTCTATTTACTTTACTTTGTTCTTTGTTGAAAGTAATAAATGAATATGAAATTAATGTTAATAATAAATGAGGTTTAATATGAACAAGAATGCTCTCTGGATCTCTGTGAATTCCTGTGCGGACCTTATGAGGAGTATTTATGACATGATCATGTGAAATATGAACAAATGACATGAGACCTAAGCATGGACTATTGAGACAAATATGATTATGATACTATAACAAATGAGGACATGATGTACTAAATGAAATTATGTAACAAGTTAAATGTTGAGTCAATGAAATAATGAATGTATGACATGCATCATATGCATATATTATTCCAAGTGTGCCGCTGAGGCTGCATACCAGTGATGTAACTTGCTAACAAGGTGTACCTTAGGGTCACCAGTGATGTAACCAGGTGTACCTTTGGGTCACCAGTGATGTAACCAGGTGTGCCTTAGGGTCACCAGTGATGATATGTGAAACTTCCTTATGGCGCCACATGCATGCATTTATAAGTCAAGATCATGACATCATTGCATGATAAATGAATATATATATGATATTGATGATGTATGTGTATTGTTTATAAGTGACTTATATTTGTTGTGTGTGTGTGGGTGCTATCTAGCCTTTATTTCTGCACCTGAAACTGGGTGAGATGTTTCTCACTCCCTTGTTGCTTTTGTATGTGTTTAAATTATGTTGCAGGCGATCAGCATCATGAGAATGTGGTTGATGAGGCTTAAGGCTTCAGTTGGACATACTCTGATAGGATGTGACATCGGGACTTAGTTAGCTTAGTTCAATATGTTATTATTTTAAAAACTTTAATTTTCTCTTCTTTTGTAATTTTGAACGTTTTTTAGAAAAGATCAAAATGTATATCTTTGTCTTATTATTTTTATTACATAACTTGAAATGTATAAATTAATTCCTAACTAGAATGCACTATCACTTTTGCTGGAATTAATCTATATTTTCTTTGATTTCTGAATTTTGATACTTACATGATAACTTCCTATGTTTTGATGAGTTATGAATGTGAATCTTCTACCTTTTGAGACAATTGTTTATCTATGAAAGATTTTATTCACTTAAAAAGAAAAAAAAAATTTGGTTACCTTTACTGTGTATTTATGTTGGGGTAGAGGGTGTCACAGAGGACAGAGCATTTGTCAAGCCATGGCCAAACTAGACTAACCAAAGGAAAAACCAGATCTGATAACATATAAAAGCTTTCCCAAACTAATGCAACGTGCCCATCATAAATAAATTAAATTAAAACTGCATTGAATAGGTGTTATATGAACCACCATATATGTTTCCAACTTAACATTACACATAAAAACCTTCTAAAGGATGATAGAATAATAGGGATGCTCATACTTACCAATGCAATCTTCCTCAGGTGTCATCTATAACAGAGCCTTCTAAATCTCAACAGGCAGTTTAAGGTGCTTGCAAGTTTGTGAATTTCTTCCTTGATACATTTTGATCATATTTTTTTTGTAGAAGCTCCCTATTTTCTTATCTAATTCATAATATTCTTCCATTTTACTCATTCGCTTCAAATCCAAGTCAATTAAATACACCTAATAGAGATCAAATTTCAGTAAACTAAGATATAAATGTAACAAGCATTATAGTTATTTTTGTTTTATAAAGATAAAGAGAATTGAACTATCAAAAATGGCAATATCGTACTTTCATATTCATGGCTAAAGGAAGCAATAATTCAAACCTTACTTTTTACATAAATTAAGATATCTATGAAATAACAAGTGATCAACTCGTTCACAAGATGCCTGTTAGTCCATACTCCATATACATTAAGACCCCATTTCAAAGGTTTTTGGTTTTATTGTTTCATGAAAGCAAACACCTCAAATTTGAGTTCAATAAAAAATAATAATAACAATAACGGTGCTTATTCTAAGTGCTTTTTTGATTTGAGAAGCACCCTAGTTATAATAGTTGCCTTTTATATAGGGCCCAAACAGTAGTGAGAGTATTTATGAAAGTGAAGTGGTTGAGTAGTTTAAGTTGTTACACGTAGGGAATTAGCTTAAATAATATGAAAATTGAGAGGGAAGGTGAGGTGTTCAGATTTGTTAGCATTGAAAACAGAGTAGTAGCTCAGTTGTAAAAGGGGAAATCTTTGGAAGGAGGATTCTCTCCTTTAGCCTCTGTTACAATTTCAGCAAAGCATTACAAACATGTTCTTTCTCTTTTCTCTTTTTTTTTTCATCATCTCCCTTTAATCTTCATTCTATTTTTTGGTTTGTAACACCTCTTCTATTTGAAACCTGAATCAATACAATTTTACGATATCTGTACTATTTTTTGTAATTTTACATACTTTTTTGCTATAAGGATTAGTTTCAATACGATGGAATATCAACTCATTCCAAAGCTAATCAACAGTGAATGATGAAGTGCCACATAATTAATAAAATAAATAAATGATATATTAAGGATTAAACAATAAATATACCAATTTAAAAATATTTAAATTAATAACAATTAAATAAAAAGCTAAAATTAAAAAATCCACATTTTTTCTCACTCTTTACCTTACACCTCTCTTTTAATTGTTCCACTGTCGTCTCATTCTAATTTTTCCAAATTTCCATTGCCACACGTAGCACGAAACTATATATGATAACAATGTAGAACATATACCCCAAAATCTGCTTACTAATTCTTCATTTCATAGAGTCTAACTATTTCCTTGAGTGAATTACAATCATCAAAGTAACAAATATCAGTAGCAATATGCTATATAAGGATGCTTTGGTGAAACTATATCATATCAATGCTCCAATTCAAAATAAAATCTTTCAATTTGCTGCTTTTCTTTCAATGGCATCCTTTCTTTGATACAATTTGAGGAGGAAGGCATAGTGAGCACCGAGAAACCCCAACTAAGAAAAGAGAGAGACCAAAAAATTAAGACTTTTGTTTTAATTTTAGTTTCTTATTTAACTGTTTTTCAATTTGATCTTTCAAAATTAATATATTTATTGTTTAGTCCCTAATGTATATTATTTATTTAATTTATTTAATGATGTGCCACTTTGTCATTCACCATTTGTGCATTCTAGAATGAGTAAGTGTTCCACCGTATCTGAACTCATTTTCTTCTTTTATGCACTAAAAAAATTGTTTTTTTTGAAGTGAAATTCATAGAAGATTTTATATTATTTTTATCTACCAAATTCCTGAATGAACTTTATAGTAGTTTTTTAAAAGCACCTACAAGACATAAGCTTTTAAATCAACATCATTCTCATATGAGGCCTAAACCTATCAGGAGAAGCTGAACCAAATGAATCATACAATGCACTATCAATATTAGCAAAATAAATAAAATAATAATAATAAAAGATATGAAAGCATGCCTACCTTGAAGTCAAAGGCTTGCTGAGTTGATTCGAGATATATGCTACTGCATTCAGATCTAGAATCTCCTTCTCTCCTTGGTCTAAAACATATCATAAAATTGCAGTCTTTTGTTATTGCTACTATTAGGTAGTCCTTCACAATTCTCAAGCTTTCATCCAACGAAGCATAATGCAAAGAGAAATATCTTGAGTTGCTCTTTACTCAATTCTCTACGTATCATGCACTGTTGACAAGTTATGTCATAATATGCATGGATAGCTCCTTCTATGTCAACATTATCAAGCTTCTAAACCTCTAGGAGCCGATCAAGGACTCCTAATTTTTTGACAGCCTTAGCAACAAGAGTAAGCAAGTTCTCTGTACAGTGACCATCATCAGCTCAAATGACAAACTTAAGGGCATCTTCAAATGCTATAATTATGGATTTCTGTAGCATATTCATTGTATTCAATATTATATCATACTTAATACTTTCATATTTTCCAGTTTAGTAAAATCTTGAATTTCTGAATACTATAATTATGAATGCAGGAATTCCTTCCAATATAGCTAAAATAAGCTATGGAGATAGCGTACGATAGTTTCTTCATCTATAGTATTTTCTCTTCAGATAGTTAAGAGTTGTAGGATTTCTTCATTATTTATACACCATAGAGGAATTATAAACATACATTGCTATCATAGCTTGAAATTGAATTTCATTTGTGTGCATTATTTAAAACTAAAGAACAGTTGAAGTTCTAGATACAGCATAATGTATGCATGTATTCCAATTAAAAAAAAACTATTGTAATTTCATCCTCCCAAGTAGGGGGTCACTCACATGTACTACAAGATGATGAACACTTCTCGTTCCGGCATTTAAGAACCCACACTTTAAACAAGTTACCTATGGTTTTATTAAAATGCACAAGTGTTACTAATACAAGCTAATGTTGCATCTTAGGTACAAAAGACAACAATTTTGAGTATTGAAATTTTGGTAACCATTTCAGCTGAAATCAGTTCCAGGCCCCAGGATGACAGATCCTCTTGACACCCTATTACTCATACAATGAAGACAGCTCAATTTTCCAGTTTGCATATGGCCTTTTGGCTAAATGGTAGGGGTTTTATTAGAGGTCGGTGCAATTTTAACAAAATTGGCCTATTTGTGATGTAAACAAAACCAAATACTTGTCAAAACATGGTTCCAAGCCCTAAACCCCAAATCCCGCAATCATTCACAATCCTCATGAAATCACTCACGAATTGAACAAAGCAACCATTAAATTCAATTCCATTTCGAAGTATTTCATCCAAAATATCTATAGAGGCATCCAAACGCTAAATTATCGCGATTGTTGGAAACGTTGGCCTTCGAATTCGTCCAAGCTCAAACGCGTGACTTTCTCGAACCGAAACCCCACTCCATCCCCTTAGTCCTCGCGTTCTTCCTCTTCCTCACATGGATCCCCCTTCGAGTGCAGCACGTCGCCCACAAACTCCTCCACTCCTCCGCCTCCGACCTTCGCGACGCCGCCGCCAGCCTTGTCCGCTTCCTCCCCTCACGCGCCGCCAAGGACAACCACGACTGGCTCTTCGACCCCATGACGCTGGCCCTTGCTTCCGGCCTCAAAGGTACAAATCAAACAAATCACGTGCGCCTCGCTTCATATGTGAGAAATTCGAGCCAAGAAATTGAGAGGGAATCACAGACACCACGATTGTAACGAGACTTTCCTCGTTTGGGACGATGCCACCAAGTCTAGGTAAACAATAAGCATTTAACCTTCTAATCAATTTTTTTTTTTTTACACAAAATATTAAAAATGGGAAATTGGAAATTTTTAGATTAAATTATCTAACAATAAGTTTTTGATTTTTATTCTTTTAAAAATAATATAGAAAAATAGTTGTCATGTGTGACATGAAAAGGTAGAACAGGAATTTAAAGATTGTAACAATTTTAAACCGCTAAAAATCTAATTCTTTTGTAACGATTAAAATAAACGGCCAAAATTATAATATTTTGTGGCGATTTTTTGAATTTGCCAGAAAAAAAACCCAACTAATTACATTTTTTTTAAAGGTTCATGAAGGCTCTTTCAGTACTTAAACAAATTAGGGTTGACCAAAATTAACTGAATTAAACTAAACTATTAAATAACTAAATTATTTTAAACTAAAAAAACTATAACTATTTAAGATAAAACTGAATTAACTATTTTTTAGTTCAATTTTTAAAAACTGAACTTATTAAGTTATAGTTCAGTTTACTCTAATTAACTAAAAATATAAAATAAAAGCATGGACATAGGCCACGGCATGGCACGGTTTCAATTTGTAAATGCAGAAATGTGGGTCTTCACATATCGAGTCTTCACATTTCAGCCACAACCAAGGTTTCTAAATCATAAATCGCAAGCCTCTTCACATTCCAGCAATCCACTTTCCCACTACACTGGGTTCCTGAGTCAGCAGAATCATCACTCCTGCCTCACTCACAGGCAACCACGGATTCCTCCTTCCTCACGCACCAAGTCACCAACCACATATTCTTTCTTCTTAGATAAAAAAAACAGTTCAGTTTAGTTTAATAGAATAAAAAATAGTTTAGTTCAGTTTTGTGATCTAATTTTCAGTTCAGTTCAGTTTTATTGAACTATTTTTCAGTTTAATACAGTTTTTAACAGTTCAGTTTAGTGCAATTTTATTTGCCCACCCCTAAAACAAATGGGGGTGCCATGGCAAGAAAAATGTAAGGGTTGGTTATTATTAGTTGACCATGGAGAGTGATTACTTTAATTATGTGAAGAAATGTCATAAATACTAGATATATATTGATAACATCAATGCTCCATCAACTTTCCTTAGTGTTTTGTCATCACCTTGGTCATTTTCGATGTGGGAAATGAATGTCATTGGTCCTATTGAGCCAAAAGCGTTAAACAAACATCGCTTCATTCGGGTTGCAATTGACTATTTCATCAAATGGGTTGAAGTCACTTCATATGCCCATGTGACTCAAAATGTGGTTGTAAAGTTCATCAAAAGAAAGTTACTTTGTCGTTATGATGTGCCAAGTAAGTTCTTTACTGACAACATAACCAACTTGAACAACAAGATGGTGACAAAATTATGTGTTAACTTTAAAATTTAGCACCATAACTCTTCCCTAGATTGCTGAAGATGAACGGAGCAATTAAGTAGCAAATAAAAACATCAAAAAGATTATTCAGAAAATGGTGGTGACATACAGAGATTGGCACGATATGCTTCCATTTGCCTTACATGGATATCGTACCTCAGTTTGCACCTCAATTAAGGCAATCCCAATCCTTTTCATTGAGGTTCAAATCTCATCTTTAAGAGTATTAATAGAAGCTGAATTGGAAAAACAGAATGGGTTCAAGCCCAATTGGACCAATTAAATCTCATTGAGGGGAAAAGATTGAATGCAAATTGTCATGGCCAATTATACCAAAAAGGATTAAAGAAGGCATTTGAAAAAAAAAGTACACCCTAGGGAATTTTGAGAAAGAGACTTAGTGCTTAAGAAAATTCTACAAGTCTAGAAAGATCATCTTGGTAAGTAGGCACCAAATTAAGAAGGACCTTATATAGTTAAGAAGGCTTTCTCTAGAAGAGCCCTAATCCTCAAACATGGATGGTAGAGATCTCCCGCATCCTATAAATTTTGATGTGGTGAAGAAATATTATGCCTAAAAAAACGAGCTTGCTAGATTGAAAACCTAAAATGATGATCCAGGAAAAAGTTAGAGTGACTTTCTAGGTTGAAAACTCAAAAGAGTGATCTAAGGAAAAATTTAAATAAAAAAAAAGAGCAAAAAATGGCATAACATAAGTACTTTGCTGAATTTTCAACTAGGAGGTATTGACTGGGACAAATCATGTGTGGAACTAGAGACTGAGGCAAATAAAGTATTGAATTGTATTATCTTTTAAAGTTTATTAGCGAGCGGTTAAAGCTATTGAAGTATAGTACTAGCATTGTTCATTTGGAAAGCGTCACTCGTACAAAAAATACCTTTTGTTGTTACCATTTTGATTCCTAAAAGTTCATTGTACATATTTTCCATGACCATCTTTGTAAATACATCCCTACTTTCTTGAATAAAATTATCTTGTTGCCTCCGTTTGTTGCCAATTCATTTTGCATTTTATGGTAATATATTGAAAAGGAAATATGTGTTACATCTAAAAAAAGAAAGTTCAAATCATTACAATTACTTTAATAAGTTTTAAAAGCCACAATATGTTTGATAATTTCTTAATAAAATGTCAGAAAGGGCAACCAGCAAAATAATGTTGCTTCAACTTATAAAGTGTTTGCAACAAATTAAGGGTAACAAATTGAAAGAATCAATTGTCATTCAAGTCAAAGAGAGATCAAAAGCATTGCCCATCCATGAATCCTAGGTTGTGTGTACAATAAGGAATGGGGGTTGTAAACCCCTAAAGAAAAGGAAAAGAAACAAAAAGTTTAATCTTGAAAGTTTTGTGTCTCGTGAAATCTTGCATCATATCGTCATGATATTGCATCACATTTTATTTGCATCTCTTTGTTCTTGAAGCAAGTGACTTGATTTTCTTAGGTTTTCAAAGCCAATAGTGTAGAACCTTTAGATTGAGTATTTGCTTAACATTTGAACTTTTCATTAGGTCTAATACTTACTTAGCACAAGTTATAATTTTCTTTTTTATAAGCATAGTATCAACCTGGCCCAACCCATGATCAATCTAGCACCAACATTCAATCAATCTATTACCAACAATCGATCAATCTAGCACAAGCATTTAGTCATTCCAAATACTAGCATTTGGTCAATCCAACACTAGCATTTTGGCTTTTGCCACACTAACATTTAGTCGATTCAACACCAACATTTTATCGATCCAGCAAGCTTTCGGTTGATCCAACATATTCATTTAGTCGATCCAGTATAAGCATTTGATTGATCTACCACAAGCATTTTATCGATTCAACACAAATATTCAATTAATCCAGCACCAACATTCGGTCGATTCAACACCAATATTTGTTCGATCCAACACCAAAGTTCAGTCATTCCAACACCTATGTTCAGCCATAATGCTTACTCAACCTCTACAACCAAGTTGAGAATTGACCCTCTATTAGCCCCAAAGCCTTAACCTCTCTCTTGGACCTTATACAAGGTCAAATAAAATTGATTTACTTCTTTACGTATTTCTTATTTCAATAATCTACACACAAAAAATTATTATTTAGATTATTGAATAAGAAACAAGTAAAGAGAGATAACTATAAATAATCAATTTTATTTTGTTGAGAAGATAAAGACATTGAATAAAGATAAGATATTTAGAAATTTAAAAAAAAAAAAAAATAAGAGAAGATAAGAAGTAAAGCAATTATTAATTGAAAGGATAACCGGTCTGCTAAAAGAAGTGGAGACAATGAATCAAACATGGGAAGTTACTTAATAAAAGGGAACTCATCAGATAATGAGATGAAGTTTGTTATGAACCACATCTACTATAAAAAGGGCTTATAGTCCAAGTGAAGGGGGGTGGAAAAATTTTCTTTAAAATCGGTGAAAAAAATAAATCTATTTATTTAGTTCATCAGCTAATTATATAATATATCCATAAGAAATTCTTTCCTATTCACGTTGTGTGGGTTTAATTGCTCGTATAACTAGAGACATAACATCACCCTTTTTTTCCCAGGAAATCTGATTTTTTGTTGCACTTCATTGTAGATTTACAATTGTAATTTTACCTTTTGGTTTGTGTGAATTTAGATTCCTTTATCTCATCTTTCTTTTGTTCTGGTTTTATACTTCTATTGTACCGGGAACTTGTATTAGCATGTCAATAATGTCATCTTCCATTTTATATGAATATTAGTATTGGATGATTGTTTAGCATTTAAATTTTCTTGATGTAAAAAGTAGTAAGACATGTTTTTCTTAGTGCTAGAAGCATGTATGTTTCTTTATTTTGTATTGCAAGTTAAGAATATAAGTAAAATTATTATTCGGTGGATCATGTTCAATATTTTTTTTAAAGCTTTCTTTAACACTTATGAATAATAAAAATTAGAATATGTATAATAAATAATATTTTAGCTCATGAAATGATTTGATATTAATAAAAACAATTCTACCATTAATATCATTTAAATCATCTAAATTTATAGTCATTTGTTATCATGAATTTTACTGCAAGAGGTAAAATAAAAATTGTTTTCTTCTAAAAAATTATTTCATTATGCTAAAATTAATAATGTCAATTGAATAATATTTTTATCTTTGATGTTATTTTATTGCAAAGGTTTAATGATTAGTCATTTGTTAACTTAAATCCTTGTATAAGACTATATTTTTTTAGATGAAAATGCATAAAAAAAAAGTGAAAGTTGCTATCTATTAATAAAATATCAAAAATAAATACAACAATTGACAACATTAATTTTAAATAGAAATTTTATTTTTAATTACTATTATCATGAGAGTTTGTTATTAGTCATTTGTTAACTTTAATCCTAATGCAAGTTTTATTTACTTAAATAAAAATACAAAAATTAAAGAAGCATATTTCACATACAAGCTATTTTAAGTTAAAGGATAAAAAAATATTTTTTAAGAGTAAAATAAATATTTATAAATTTTTATAATTTTGCACAATTAATTTAAGGTGTTGTTTTTAACCGATATTGTACAATATTAATATCTCTCTGATTAACTTTCGAATCTAATTCTAATTTCATAATCCATTTTTTAAGATTAATATTTTTTCTCTTAAAATAAAATACTAGTGACAATTTCATTAAATAATAATAATAATTATGTTTCATTCGACGAAAAGGTCTTTTACAAACATATCTCAGAGACATTTATACTGAAAAAATCTTAACTAACTCCTATAGATCGTAAGTCCTGACGTTGGTGTGTCTCACGTTCTCCATTTTGATCCTGTTTTCTAGGAGACGCTCCTAGATAGTGTCTTCTTCAAATTTTACACTTTTTAACTGCCTAGATTATGATCCTTTGCTTTAGCATTCCTCAAACCATTGATCTATCATTTCAAAATCGAATTGTGAATTCCACACTAACGGCCAAATTCTTAGCTCAAGATATATATCCTATCATTCACTAGAAATACGGGCCAAAGATATTTAACTACATTTTCAGCCTTATGATCCATTCGACTAACTGATTTTTGACTAACATATTTTGAACTATAAAACTTTCTATATGTGATTTTGATTTAGTGTAATCAGATATCCTAAAATTTATTATGTAAACATTATGAACTAGAAAGTTCATAAGGAAAAAATAATTCATTTATCATATCTCAAATATAATATCTTAAAATAAAGAAATAACAGGAAAAAAAATTAATATAAAGAATATATATTAGTTCACCACAAACCATATAATTTACATTATAAAGTATTCTCTATAATTTATATTTCTTCAAGTATCAAGAAAGATCATTACATCACAAAGTATTCTTTATAATTTACATTTATCTAATAAATAAATTACATGTGCCCTTTTCTTCTTAAACCTCTTCAAATTGAATAAAATAATTAAAACTAATACATATTACTAGTTCTAAATACCAAGACTTAAAAGGAAAATAATTTACTATCGAGGAAGAAAATCACTTATAGACATATCATTATTAGATAATGGAGTGGATTCGTTGATAGATTGGCTAGAACTTGATTCTTGTCCAAATAATTTTGGATACATTCTACCATGTAAGAAAAATGCAGGATCTTGTGGACTTGGCAATTCAATTAAATGAGTACTAAGATATGAAGCAACTTGCACCATTGTTGGTCTATCATCAGGATTTTGTTGAATGCATAACAAACCAATTTGAATACATTTAATAACTTCAGTTTCAGAACAATTTTCTTTAATACTTGGATCTAGTATGTTTAACGGTGTTTCGCCCATCCATTGTCTCCAAACCTATACCAATTTGTGAAATTAAAATTCAATTAAGTTAATACTTATTTACATAATTGAATTAATCTGAGTGCTCATGGCTATATATATATATATATATATATATATATATATAGCATATAAGAAACTAGAACTAATGCAGGAAATCCAAATTCCTAGATTATTATACTTACATAATTCAAGAGGCCATCAACAACACGATAAGGTTCACAAGGACTTAGATTCTTTTTTCCTGTAATAATCTCAAGAACCATGACACCAAAACTAAAAACATCTGATTTTTCTGAAAACTGTCCAAACATTGCATATTCTGGAGACATATAACCACTGTAAAATAAAATAGAAAACAATGTTAATTATTCCAAAACATACCCCATGATATGCGAAATTGGATGGATAATTAAGGAAGAATATTGTTTCAAACTTACTATGTTCCAACAATTCTATTCGTACTCCCTTGATCTTGATTTATTTCCACAATTCTAGCCAAACCAAAATCTGAAATTTTTGGAATCATATTTTCATCTAATAAAATATTACTAGGCTTGAGATCACGGTGTATGACTTTGAGTCGAGAATGCTCATGTAAATAAAGAATTCCCCGAGCAATCCCTCCAATAATATTGTAACGCTCATGCCAACTCAATAACTTTGATCGTTGAGAATCTACATAATAATTGAGAAATGTAAGTGTGGATTGTAATATAAGTTGATTGCAATCAATGTAATTGTGAAACATGTTTTGTAATCTATAAGTTATAGGATGGCACATGTTCACACACAAACATGCATTTATTTCATGATTTTAAACACACACGTGTATGTAATGGATGAATTTAAACATTAAAGAATTATGTTGTTTAAGGGTGGCAAGTGTCAAACCAAATAAAAAATAGTCAAGACTCTTGTTTGGAACGTATTCGTAAATAAGTATTTTGTCTTGTTGTTCAAGACAAAAGCCGATGAATGCCACAAGATTTCTGTGTTGAAGTTTGGCTATCAATAAAACCTCATTCTTGAACTCAATTGTGCCTTGCTTAGAACTTTTTGAGAGTCTCTTTACTGCTATTTGTCGTCCATCAAGAAGAACTCCCTGAAAATTAAATCATTATATATTATTTATGTGAAAAACAAAAACATAAAAGTGAGTAGATATGTCACATTCTTTACCTTGTAAACTTCTCCAAATCCACCTTTTCCAATCTTATTATCATTCGAAAAGTTATTGGTTGCTGCTTCAATTACATCCAAAGTGAATTGTAGTGGCTCTAAAGTGGCACTTTCATGACCAACTGAATCAAATATATGTGATTGATTTGTAAAATTAATTAAGTTTATAAAGTTCTTTAAATTTAAAATGCATTTGTTTAACATATTGAATTCCTTTAAAGATACGTACAATTTTCTCTCAAAACAGTCTTAGCACTTTTTCTTACTTTTCTCTTTATTAAATAGTAGCCAAAAGAGAAAAGTACCGCTGAAATAGTTGTGAGTACAATAATTAAGATCATTGCTCGCGATCCACTTTTTCTTTTCTCTGCAAAACAATCAACATACGTCGCTAACATATATATAGAAATAGATAATTAATCATGACAAGTCATAATAGGTTGCTAATAACATGAGAAGTGACTTGTTTCCTATAAATATTATGATTCATTAGGTGAGTCAAGACATTTCACGCTTCAATTTTTTATTTAAAAAATTAAAAATTAAAATTAAAATTGAGATTAAGTAATAAAAGTAGTTAAATAAGTAATTAATGTTTCTTGGTCCAACTAGTGTTATGGTTGATCCTTAAGTCAAAAAGTTTCGAGTTCAAGTATTGGATTGAATAAAAAAATATACCTTTTAAAAAAATTAATAATAAAAGAATATAATGATCTCCTAAATGTGAATATCAAAATGATTATTAAAAGGAATGTCCTCTTTATATATTAGTATAGATTATATAGTCCATATTACACTTTATGGATTAGTGTGAGTGAACACTTTGACCATGCTATTAATGGTGTGCTAAATAATAAAACCAAATATAGTTGCTTTATCATTCCAAATTTCAAGGTAGAATAATATAGGCAACATTGATTTGCTTCATAGTCTAAATTTTAATAAATAGTACAATATATACATTTGTAATTAATAGTGGAATTAATTCTTTAACACCCAATCACACTTATTCTTGATTGATATGTATAAAAAATGTTAGAAAATGTTAATTCTTTAAATAAATTTCAGTATCTTGAAGAATTAATTCTTAACTTTCAATTAAGAGATAACTTGGTTTTAAAAAAAAATTAACAACTAATCACAATAATCAACTTTTCCTCCCTTCTTTACTTTTTTTTTTTCTTTCTTATCGGATCTATACAGGTGGTGAACAAATAATTGTGCTAATCAATTCAAATTATTTTTAATAGTCGACAAGTAAAAGTGTAAAACATCAATGCTATTGAGCTTCATTCAAATTAAAAGTTTTATGGTATCAATTGGGCACATTACAAGGAAAGTCTCATGTATCTACATATCTTTTATTCTTATAAACATGATGATCGTAGGTAAAATTAAAAATTACTTTTATCTATAAATATTTATTGTACATAAAACTCAAATACTTACTTAAAATTATTTGTTATAAATAAAAATTACAAAATCCTTTGTATATAATTCACATAATGAACAGATAAATTGTCTGTATAAATATATTATAAAAAGTACTTACCTATAAGTTTTTAAGTTTTAGTGACACTTTATGTTCATCACTAAAAGTTTTTTTTTATAATGACAACAATAACTTTATATTAAGAATAATGATGATTTCACAAATAAAACACATTCAAATTAAAGATAAGCAGTTGTAAGGATAAAAGATGTGGTTAATTAGACAGATAACTTGTTTGATATTGTTAGTTAATTAAGGGTGTCACTTGAATTAACTTGATTAATGGTTTCAATTTTGGAAATTGTTTGGATATTTTAATAATTTCATAAACTATATTGACAGTGTCCAATAATTTCAGCAACTAAATTAATTAACGATTCTTAGTTATTGGACTGTCAAGTGCTGGTGAGCACCAATAACACATACACTATGCTACATTAGTGCGTTTGATGCTATCACTTAACTAAGGGTGAAGCCAGAAGGGACTATGACTAGGGATGTGAAAATAGCCAAACTTTGAAGGACTTGTCCGATTAGGATGTTGTATGAATTTTACTTGGAAGTAAAATTTCAAGTACAAAATTATTTTGACCGGCCCAAATTTTTACTAGTTTGAAGTAAGTTGTTCCAACCATTGGCCAATTTTTTTTTATTATATTTTATAATTGGTAAAGTCATATATGTTAAAGTGAATATTACATGTGCAGTCAATGTTCATTTAAACATTAATATTCTATGTACGTTGAGAATTACTATTAATTTCTAGCCGTTTTTACTGTTACAATTGATGCGCTCTAATTTATTTTTATGATTGGGTATTATGTTTTACTATTTCATAATCCAAATGGCAATCTATATTTTTTATTTTAGTTTACAATGATTAAAAAAATTTATTAACTTAATATATAAATTTTATTTTGTTTTAATAACTTAATTTTTATATTTTAGAAAAAAGTGATTAAATTATGGGCCAGTCCATTGGGCCAGCTCACCAAAAATTGGGCTTGGCTAGCAAAATTCGACATCACCATTAATTAATTGACTTGGCCTATCCCAACCTAAATTTGTATTGTTTGCGACTGACTTATTAAAATTGACAATTATATAAAGTTGAGGGACAATCATCAATTTCAAGGACTATATATTTTAAAAAAAATTATGATCTAAAAAATAAAATTATCAATATTTAAAATTTTAAGAAGTAAAATATGGTTATATGATCTCAATAATGTATATGAGTGGGAATGATTTGCCCATTATGATTTAGTTTTGTAAGATTGAATTAAACTCAAATTTATTTGTCTTAAGATGATATCAAAGTTATCTCATATTCATTAAAAAGGGTGACACTTTATCCTCAATCCTAAGAATGTTGAGTGTGAAAAGGTGTATTGGTTCCAAGTCTAACATTAGCTAGAGACAAGGTTAAGAAAGAGTATATAAATGATAACTATAACCATACAAGTCAGTTATATAGGGTTAAATATTGTTAAGTGTCAATTTTACCTAACTATCATGCAAGTTTTAGTAGTAAATTAACATAACTTCTTCCAATTTTCTTTAGAAACTGTCTAAGATAACAAACTTTGTTAATATATTTATACTTATGTCATTTTAATTTGATATAATTATATCAATTTTTGATTACTTATTTTGGGTGTTGCTTTGTAGGACAAATAGAGAAAGAAATGGATAAAGAGAGAAAAAGAGAATTGGGGAATTGAGCATATTTGGAAGAAAGAAAATGAAAATGGAATAACCAATAGTTCGCTTAAGCATCGAAACAAAAGCTTAAGTGAATTTACAAAAATAAAGAAAAAGTCTCTACCTCAAATTTGCTAAAATATTTGAACAAAAGCTTGAGCAAAAATTCCAAATGCTCAAGCATTTGAACAAGGGTTCAAGTGACTTTTGAACAAGGGCTCAAGTGACTTTTTCAAGGCTCGAGCAAATTTAGTTTCTTAACCCTAAAAGACTCTTTTTAGTTTAAGCAAATTCATCAAGGCTTGAGTTAGTCTATAGTGGTCAGGTTGCTTTATTTTGAAAACCACAACATATTTAAGGCCAAATGACTATAACACAAGGACACTCTCCAAACTCTCTAATCATTCACATCACTCTCTCTCACTCCACCATTGAAGTTGAAGATCTTGGAGGTGATTATGATGTTCGAAGACAAAACAACATCATTTCAACTAGATTCTTCTTCCTCCTCTTTATTTTTTTGTTGGTTCTCATGGAAATGAATAACTAACTTCCTTTTGGGACTGGACATAACTTATTGTGCTTCATGTGACTCATGATCTTTATATGTTATGATTTTTTTATTATGTTGTTGTGTCATTTTCGTTCTTAAAACTTTTAAGTTTTGATCATTCGAAAATTGATTTAAGATTTGAAATTTGATTGAAAAAACTTAGACTTGAAATGAACTGCCAATTGATCCAATTCTAGAAATAAAGCTTAGATTCGTAGTTTGAAAAAGATTTTTCTTAATGCAAGTTTCTCTCTTGAATATGTAAGGAATTAATATTCAATAGATAAATCTTAGAATTTCTTTATCAAGAAATTGGTTTTGAGTGAATTTAGTTCTAATCAAAATAATGAAGGATTGTTAACATATATATAGTTTAAAGGTCACTAGCTAAGAGATATAAGAAATGAAATTCAATCCAAAGCATATCGTATCTGAACTTTTCCAACTTTTATTATTTTGTTTGTTACTTGTTTCAAGTTTCATTAATTTGATCTTTCATTTCTATTTCAATGAACTACTATGGAAACTTGTGAATATTTTATATATGCATTTTTTACTTTTATAAATGAATTAAGAATCAACCAATTGACTTACTCCTTAAAGAGATGACCTTACTCATCACTATTGCAAGTTGGCTCTAGTACACTTGTGATGGGATCAACAAATATTTGACCAAATACTCACATTTTAAGATAGTATCAAAGCTCTCTTATATTCATTTTTTTAAGATGATATCATAGTCTATCCTAATAAGTGATGTTCAACTTATCAGATCATTTGTTATCAAGTTGTTCTCAGATCACTAATAAATGTCTAATTCTTCAAATTTTAGGTTTGAAATATTCGGTACTCAACTTGAGGAATTAGGTTGAAAATCTCACATTGACTAGAAATATAGTCAAAATAGTATATACAAGTGAGGAGTAATCCTTACTTTACTAGCCAAATTTATAAAATTAAGTTATGTCCAAATTCACTTAAGATAGAACAGAGTTATTCTAAATTCGTTAAAAATGATCATCCCTTATTTTTCTATGTGTCAAACTCAATAATATTGAACATGAAAAAATATATTAAAAAAAATTCAAATTTAACATTGAGTAGAGAAGGCCGACAAAAAGTATGTAAATGGAAACAACTCCTACCTTCCATAAATCATTTTTATAAAATTAAGACTAAAAACTCATAATCTAAAATTTCAATTAAAACTCGGAAAAATACCAGTAAATTTAAAGCAAATATTAGTCGAGTGAGTTTACCTTTGTGGACTGATGGAGAAAGATTACCCGGCCTCGGCGATTGCGCTTCGTCACCAATCCCGTAAAATTGGAACGATTCAAACCTGAGATTGCAACTCGGACATAAAACTCTCCCCCCTATGCTTCCCAAGTGTGACCATGGAATTTTTCCAATTATATCTTCCAGACAGTTCCCACAATCATCGGTAGGCAAATCCTGTGTACATTGACCAAGAGTATAAAGGGTCTGTACATCATTCAGTTTTGATGATTTAATCACATATCTCTCGCTACTATCTGATGCCGCGTTCGCCAGATCAGCTAATGTATTTGATAATGTAAAAGTGAAGGACTCTTGTCCCGGGATGGGGTTGGAGATAGTGGTAACATTCAGCATTTGAAATGCTGGAGTTTCCTCCACTTGATAGAAGAAATTCTGATAGGAATAGCGAAGCATGCAGTGGCTGTACCATATGATAGCCTCTTCAGATGAGTTACACGATGCGGATATTTGGTGTGTTGCGTTGAGAACGCATTGTTGACAGAGGCGTGAGGGAAGGTCACCGCGGCACATGAAGAGGCCATACACACTGTCCTCCACATTATTCTTAGAAAATTTATTGCCATCGGTAGCATTGGAAGACAAGTAAAAGAGGAGGGTGTTGAGATGCCTTTTGTAAGTGCTGTCAGCAGTTGCATTAGTGGTGCAATTGTGGTATAGATAAGTGGGATCTTCTGAAAATTGTTGATCTGCATTGGGAAACTTTGATGCAGGAACCGGCACTGGTGTAGGGATAGATGAGCGGTAGAAAGGGTTCACTCCATACCTAACATTACAGCTGGGATATAGAACTATCCCTAGCGACCCTTGACGTGGAAGTTCCCCTATCGCTAAACTGAGACATCTTCTGCAATCATAAGGCGACAGGTCCGGTGTGCACTGAGCTTGACAGTAAAGGCTCTGAGATTTAGATATGTCTGTTTGCAATGTCGCATACTTCTTGTTACTATTACCACGAGCTGCTTCGTGTGCAGTTTTGTTTAAGTTGTCAAACACTAAACGCATGAACGTTTCCTGGTCTGAGGCATTCACCTCATTGTATACGTGAAGTTTAGGTCTAGTGTCGAAGGTGGAAAAAAATGAACGGTTGGAAAAGCGAACCATGCACTCATCGATCCAAATCACAGCTTCTTTGGACAAGGAGCACTTTGTTGATAGTCGCTGGGTTGCATCTTGGACACATTGTTGACAGAGCTCACGAGGGACATCACCCCTGCGCATACGGGTATCATAATATATAACCAGTTATAAAAACTTATGTGCCTTTGTTTGAAGATATCACATTACATTTTCAGAATCTCATTCCAAGAATATTTTAGTAGAATATAATTTTTTTGTATATTTAGAAAAGATGTTTAGTTATATCATGATATTCTTTCGAATGTTTTTCTAAATTTAAAATAATTTAAATACAAAATAATTAATTAGAAAAGTTATAAGTGTTGTAAAACGCAACTTTTCACTTTTTTCTGAAAATATCATATTCACAACCGTCAGCGTGGGAATAAATTTGTAAAAAATATAGTAGGATAATTTTCTAGGAAATAAATGATACCCGGAATAATTTTTGAAAACTCGCAATAAACATAGGAATATTATATTTTCATGCTTATATTTTTTAGAATGAATTTTTAATCCGTGAGATAAACACATTCTAAGGATCGTATTGAATTGAGATTTTATAAGATTATTTTAAGATGAAAAATTCTTGTAGATTATAGAAGACTTCGTAGGAATCTAATAATTTCTATAAAAAAATTTAAAGACTTTTATAATCAAGATTTTGTATATTTAAATCAAAATTCTTGTATAATATAGAAGACTTTTAATGTATTTAAATCAAAATTTATAAGATTGTACTAATTAATATTGATAACTAGTTGCGGTATATAAGTATGCTATTGATGTAATTTTGAGCTATGTATGAGTTGTAGTGATGTGGTCCCTTATGTATTTGATTTCTAATATTTAATAGATATAGTTGAATTGTTAATTGTTATATTGAGATCAATTGATAATGAAATAATGTGATATGACAAGACATGTGATATGTGAATTAATGAGATCATGTAAGTTGATATGCATAGAGTCTATTTGACATGTATCATATGCATTAAAGTATTTTTAAGGGTATGATATGGAATACACCGCCAAGGAAGGTCTCTTCGTGTAAAAGCTTAGGGATCAATCCTTGGAGATAACTTGGTTTGGAAGTCTTTGTCTCGCCCATTGTGTTCATGAGATGTATCTTACACAACTCAGTTATATATCCCAACCAAACCTTGGTAGTATGTTCTCTTAGTGAGAGTGTGTTAAGGATGTGACTCAGCATGTATTTCTAAGCTACTCTATGTATATTGTTAGCATCAATGCACAAGTGTGATATGTGATATTTTTACTAACACCACATGCATAATAACATATAATTCGTGTCCATTACATAATGCATCTTAATGTTATGTGGTATTTAGTTGTTACATTGTGAATGAATAGAGTATGTTATATGATCAATATGTTGATATATATCTTGTTTGTGTTTGGTTGTCCAACTACATCATACGTCGTGAGCTAAAGTGAGATGTTTCTCAATCCCCTTATTTTGTATTGCTCTTCTTGTATGTTGTTGTTTGTGATCTTCAACATGATGTTAAAGATGTTGGTAACGAGGATTAGTCCTCATACAAGGGTTATGCTTTGATAAAATGTGATATTAGAACTTAGTTAAGGATTATCTTTTTTTATCATGTTTTGAGATAATCACTAGTTTTATTGTAATTAATAGATTTCATTGAGATTTCAATTGGTTTTGTTTTGTTAAAAATGAGATATCTTCTATGTTGATCACTTTGAATTTTATTTATGAAAGATGTTTCTATTCAATTTTAATTGTGTGTTATGTTATATGTAGAATAGAGGGTGTCACACTCTATATATATTTGACATCTATAATCTCCATTAGTAAATTTGAATATTTTAATTTATAGAAAGGACCACTATCTTTTTAATATAGTAGCTTGTTAATTTTTTTTAATATTATTATAGTCTAGTGGGAGCATCTTTATTAGTATTTAAAAAGAAACTGTTAAGTCAAAAGATGATTTTAGATCCCTCAAAGTTTTAATGATAACAAACGAAATATTTTCTTTTAAACAAAATGAACTTTTTGTAAAATATTCTATATCTGACAAAATGTAAAATGTATATCATTTATAAGATGAAGAGAATTAGACAAAAACATACAGTATGTCTCATTATGTATTAAATGTATACTTTTTAAGTGAGACTAATAATAAATTTCATTAAATGTTTTATTCCTTAATAGATTGAACAAGAAAGATTTTTTGGAACTCTCGAAATTTGTTAAAGAAGGAAAAATTAAATTATCCATCAGAATCAAAAGGAAAAATCTCGGATATCATAGAATAGTAGAAAAAGGCTCTACAAGAATTGCTTTACGCTGACATTGCTTTTGCAAGAACTGCTCCATGGTAACATTACTTCTATTATTCCCATTTTAGAAAGAAATGATGATAATTAGCCTCCTACATCAGATAAGAGATACACATTTTACTGAAAAACATTTAATGCTAACATTAAATGAAGCAACGGTAATCTCTTTGCTTTAAAATCAATAGTGAAGACAAATGAAACAACTCGTGAAGCAACTTGTGAGTTCAACTCAAAGTGCCGCAACAGTTATCTTCTCTAAAGCTATTATATAAAGATCAAGCCTTCAAGAAAGAAATAAGATAGAGAAACACAAAATAGAGACTCGTATACAAAAAATCACTCACTGTGAATTTTGTATATACTTCTTTATAAATTACATGTACATTCATTGTTCGTTGCAACACGTCTAGAAGAGACAAAACAACCCACTAGTACAAAAGACCCCTTTTACGTCAGGTATTTGAAGCCTTTTACGTCGAAAAAGCATCAGAAGTTAATACGGGAGACGTAAAATTTATGTCGGGGTTCAAAAACCAACGTAAATTTACGTCGGACATGCCAAGGTCCGATGTAAAAAAGTCATAAAAATTTAAAAAAAAAAA